GTGTAAAAATATATACACTATTTTCCACTACACTTCATTACTCAAAATTATGTAGCAACATCTGCTGGTGGAGCTGAAATATGACAGCCACACTGCCCCTTTTCAACATGCTGTCCTTTTATCCTCAGAACCCTCCAGGGTGGATTGACATCAGCGTGGCAATGCAGACATTTATCAATACAGCTAAGTTTCAGCTGTGGCCTACCCATTAGGGATGTGAATTTCCACCACTAAGGCCGATTCGATCCGTATCTTGATGCCATACGATACGGTGAGACCCTCTGCCGATGTGATTCCTCCCTGCTGACATTTCATTATTGATTTGGAAAAAATGTTTGACCACCAAGCCCACATCTGGTTTTTAAACATCAACACAATGTTTTTCCTTTTCCTCCATGAAGGATGTACTTGATCCTCTATTCAATAAATTCAGCATAAAATGAAAAAGCACTTCATCAGTGATATTGAGGTATTATACATATTTTTATTGCAACAATGCTCTGTCAACATAAGAAGGTTGAAATGAGGTTTAGACAGTCACTCTGCTCAGAAAAAGTTGAGTTCATCTTACAATTATTAGGAAATATTACAAAACGCCTTAAACATCTTAAAATTATTCTAATGCTCCATATGGGGCAACATTAAAAGCTGTCATAGCCTAATGTTGCTGTTTCTAATGCTGGAGATGCAGGGAGATGTTGAGTTTGCCTCAGCTGGTTCTCTGAACCACTGTAGAGAGCAATATGTCCTTGTGTCTGGAGTTTTTTAGTTCTTGTTCAAATGTTACAATAATAAGGGACCATCGTAAATTGCCTCCCACAAAGCTTCAAGTGTACAGATCAGTAAGAAAGCTTAGAAAAATATGCAGCTGTGGAACCCAGAGACTGTGTCACGGACTTGTGGTTTTCAGGAAGTTTATTTTCTTTTGACAAGTTAAGACAGCAAGGGCGCCCCCAAGGGGTGGCCATGGCTACCCCTAGAAAATTGCTGGCCCCCCAGGAAAAGCCAGTGTTACCAAATCATATTAATGTTCAGTGAAACCATATATTGATCTTGTTTATTCAAGACATAATTATAAACAAAATAAAAATAGTACAATTAATGAGAAAAGAAATAATCTGAATTTTTAAAAATACATATGTTTCTGCTGCTCACCATTTAAAAAAAAGTTTGTACCTCCATAGTTTTTTTAACACAGCAACAGGTGAATTAACCCAAAAAATACATTTTTAAATTTAATTATGGATAGCATTTTAAATAACTGAAATGTAAATTTCTGAAATGTTTGCGTTGGTAAAATTTATACGTACTGTTATTTTAATAAAAACAAATAAAGGCGCAATGTAGTACATCGCCACAGGCTAAATTCTCCCAGCGTTACCACAAAGACCAATTTGGTGTGCCACCACAAAATGTCTTTGGCCCAATTTGGCCACCCCATCAAAATTTTCTGGAGGCACCCCTATAAGACAGGAAGCACGTACGTCGGTTAATATTGTCCCACGGGTTTTTTTCTAACTGTGGCTGCGCACTGCTGCTAAAAGAGGCCCAATCTCAAAACTCGCACTGCGCCCTGCGGTCTTCGGCAAAGTGCACATGGAGAAAGTGTGCTGTAAGGCTTTGAGTGTGTAGTACATAAATGTGCAAATAAATGCAGAATTGAGACAGACAGTATTGCATCATCAACCGCAAAGCATGCCGGGATTCAGGTCGCTGTGATACTTCTTTATTAAAAACCTCAACATTAACAAGCAAGCTATTATTTGAAATAAATTTACATTCATTGCTGCTTTGTCTGAAAGTTTCAGAGCATCAACTAATCATCCTAAAATTAACTTTCATTAGAAAATACATGTTTTCAAAAAAGGCACTTGAGCTTTTTCTCCCACAGCAATGTATTGTGGGTAATACCCTTCACCAAAGTCCACTGCGATGCGGACTTTGGTGAAGGGCGGATCAAGGGTGCAAAAGGGGCGTGATCAACTTCCACATTTGATAATCGAGACACACTACGCACTCACACCCCTGGTCGGGATCGCGCAATTGAAGGGCGCGAGGGTGGAAGTGCGAGTATTGGGATTGGGCCAGAGACCGATGATGCGTTAAAAAACAAAGACATAGGAGGTAAACTGTGAAGTAATTGATGTAACCATGGTTTATACTGATTAGACATGCATGGAAAGATACATTGTGATATAGCCGTCAGATGTACGTGATGCACACTGAAGCTACCGGCTACCCATTGCAAATATCACGAACGAACCACCGGTCCAGATTGGTCAATCTCTCCATCACTACTGCCCATCTGCATCTGAACACGAGCAAGCTGCTCTTTCACAGTACAACTGGATTTGAGCAAAGTTACAGTTCTCTTTGCTCTGGTTCGCATGTCTTCCAACTCTGGGATCTGAGAAAGAGACGCTTCACTAAGTTTCGCATGTGGGCAAAACAGAGCACTTGTCTGAGGTTCAGGAGGCTTGTTGAGGCAATCATGTTGGCAGCACCATCTGTCACCAATCCTACCACCCCGTCTCTTATCTTCCACTCTGCCATGAATACTTACTTTGCTTCTGCTAAATTAGCACCTGTTCCTCTAGATGTGGTTCTTTTCTTTAGGCTGGTTAGTTCATAGTTTAGTTTGCAATCCAGCCCCTATTTACTGTTTTTATGCCGTTTCTATTCCTTGGTTTACTCTAGTTTAGATGCACTAAATGTTTGTTTGATCAGTGGAAAGAAGTTTGATTATATTTTTGTGTTAGACGTTAATAAGTAAGGTGGGTTTCACTGTTATACTTTAAGATTAGTTTTACCATTATTGGTAAACCTTTATTTTATACACTGACTGAGAGAGAACCAAATCTTCTAAGCTTTTCTTACATCTGGTTATTTTACAATGTTACTTTTTTTCCTCATGGCTGAGCCAGGCCATAACACACTGGACAGGCTCATCAGGAACTGCTCTGTAGTGGTTCTCTTCTTATCTGTCTGAGTTTCCCTTCTCTGTGACAGTCTCCAAGTTTCAGTCCTCCATCACCCACGGTCTCCCCCCAGGTTCTGTACTGGGGCCTCCATTGCTCCTCTCGGACGTAGGTGGAAGAGAAGTTAATCAGAAGGTTGCAGGTTTGAGTCCGGGTCAGTGTCGCTGTCGTAGTGTCCTTGTGCAATGCACTTAAGAGGGACTGGTGGCGCATCCGCTAACTTCCGTCGGTGCTTTAACTCCTTGTTGGGGCCTGGGGCCCTCATAAAAGTAGAAATGGGGGCATACTTTCCAGTAACTGAATTAGCATAAAACCAATTTATTATTTAAATGTTTTTAAAACATTACCAGTTAAATTATAGTTCTAACAGTGATGAAGAACCCAAACTGGCAGATAACAAACCTGTCAAAATCTGAAACATTTTGTAATGTTATAAGACGTGTAAAGACGGCTCTCCCTTGCCCTGCCTCTGTCATGTTGTGTGATATGTATCTAACCCACGACATACAGAATCAGTACGGAGGCATTGGTAAGTTTTTAAATAATAATTTATTAAAGGGGAAACCAAGGGAGCAGCATAAAAGCATAGCTGAGATCTTCCAACAGGGATTAGGTGTGGGAATCTGTGGACAGATGAGAGTTAGATCCAGTTCGAAGGGGGAACAACAGGGAATCTGAATTAAGCGGAGGACTTACAGTCTGGAGAGGAGTGAGAGCTCGAGGGGGAAGTTGTCCGGTCTGGGTTGAGGAGTTATCCAGGGGGCGGTGATCCTGAGAGTGTGATGTGGAGGGAGCTGAGAAAATAGTGGCCATCCAAGTATGTGAGCATTTAAACACTAATGCTCTGTTTGAGGAATTTCAGTCTGGTTTTAGAGAGTATCACAGCACTGAAACTGCATTAGTGAGAGTTACAAATGATATTCGCATGGCCTCAGATAAGAATTTTGTGTCTGTTCTAGTCTTGTTAGATCTCAGTGCTGCCTTTGACACAGTTGATCACAATGTTCTTGTAGAAAGGCTTGAACATGCTGTAGGGATCAAAGGAACAGCGCTAGGCTGGTTTAAATCCTATCTGTCTGACAGATTTCATTTTGTAAATGTATATGACAACTCTTCTTCATACTCCAGCGTTACTTGCATAGTACCACAGGGTTCAGTGCTTGAACCAAATCTTTTTACTAGATATATGCTCCCAATTGGTAAAATAATTAGACAGCATGGGATAAACTTCCACTGTTATGCTAACGATACTCGGTTATATTTATCCATTAACCCTGATGAACCTAATCGGTTGGGTAGATTACAGGCTTGTCTTGAGGACATAAAAAATTGGATGACTCTAAACTTTTTGCTTTTAAATCAAGATAAGATGGAAGTTCTCATATTTGGACCAGAAATCCAGAAAAGGAAATTGCTTCGTCAATCACCTGACCTGTGTAACGTGAGGAAATATGAGTTTTCTGTCACAATGGTGGTGTTGGACGCAGCTGGGTCATAGCTGGGTCGCTGAGAACTTTCACCCACAGATTAAGACCTGAACGCCAGCGAGTCTGGGAGGAAACCATAACATCTGCCACCTGCAGTCTACCAGAAGATGTGTTTACATGAGTTGTACCCAGACCAAGTCAAAACATAAAGTTTAAACTTCTTTTTCTTGATTTTAATGTTAAAATAACCATTATCATTTTGCTCATTATAAATGTGTTTAATCAAATGAATGACTATTATGCTTTGGGGTAATTATAATGGATTAATGAATCCACACTTAAGTAGATAATGTTGAATGTGTGGTACTGACCTTCACACTCAAGCACACAAACATTCACACACACCCACACACATCTGCCCACAGTAAACTCCAGACACATTTGATGACGCACATGTTTTGCTTTGAGAAGAGAGGTTTTTGGTAAGTTTTCAGTTTTATGATTCAGTTCGTGTTGGACAACGGGAGAGAACAGACCTGAAAACCAAAGGGGGGGCAGAGCCTGTTGGCTCGTTCTTCCCCCCTTTCACGCTGTTTCTGCCAAGCTAGGCAGAATAGCTGAATCGCGACTTCTAACGAAGACTCATTACCGAGTCTTTTGATTTCTGAGTGAATTAACTTAAGAAAGCGCATCGATAAAACGCTCTACCATCCACGTGTACCGAGGGCAACTCTGGACCGGTTCCGTTCGACACCTACGTCTCCTGTCAGCCGCCGGTGTCATCTGGATGAACCACAACATCCTCCACGGCCCGGATCCGAAAGAGGGTCCACAAGAGTTCGGTGAGACAGAGCACGGTTTTAGCGTTTGATGTAGTTCTCTGATAAGACCTAAGTTTATCCAAACCATCACTTCACTCAGACACCTGTTTCTTCCTGAAGCAAAATCAGACTCACACACGCATTCATGTCACAACATTCTCAATCTTCATAAATTCACCAGAAGGTCTATTTGAGCAAGAACAGCATATAAACTGTTAAAAGATTGTCCCACAAAGTTGCCAATGTGATTGTTATTTCGTGTTTGTCAATTTTCAAAATCATTAGTTTAATTTGAAGAATTAAAACTGTTAATCCTTCAAACTTGTTTCCTCATTGAACTGAAACACAGACACTCAGATATTATCGGCAGTTTATGGATGAAAACAACCTTTGAGTCTTCTGAACAATATAAAATTTGGTTATTGATTTATTAAAATTAATATTCCGAATTAATACGTAGCATGGTTTCTCTTTCATAAAAGAGCATAAATCCATAACGCTACATTTAATGGCGAGCGTATCCAGTCTTCTATATCTGCGATATGTCTGCTTTCTTACATCTAAAAGCTACAAACAACGCTTTTCTCTGTGTTTCACTTTGATGTCTTATTTTGAAATTAACCGGAAATTGTTCCGCTGAAGTCACTCTTCCGGGAGGCGTCCTGGTGGAAACTTGACCGGGAAGATCTCCGATCTCAAATTGACCGCAAATTACAGACCTAACTTTGATTTATCCCATCTTCGCCTTCGGAGCGAACGTGTGAGTTGTGCTTTTGACTAAATTCTGTCCATTTTGACGCGCCGCCGCGTCTCTAGTCTAACCTCAGGTCGGAAAGCTACGTTTCCGCTCTGACCATTGCTGGGTGAGCTACCGTGAGCAGCTTATCCTCAGTTCCTAAAATTATCAATAAATTCTCCGAACCTCAGAACCGAGACTAAATTCTCGGACACCTTTCATCTCAGTGTGTTGACACTGTAGGCGAGCTATTGTGGAAAATATCTCCATTGCATGGGCGACTTATAGAAACCGAATCTGAACGGAATGCTCGGTGACACCTACCGTAGCTTGATTGCTAGGTAAACGTCGTAAAGCGAAGCATGGCCGTCACGCGTTACTGCATTGAGATTGCGTGCGCTTTTTAAACGGAATGCTCGGTGACTCCTACCGTAGCTTGATTGCTAGGTAAACGTCGTAAAGCGAAGCATGGCCGTCACGCGTTACTGCATTCAGATTGCGTGCGCTTTTTAGACGGAATGCTCGGTGACTCCTACCGTATCTTGATTGCTAGGTAAACGTCGTAAAGCGAAGCATGGCCGTCCCGCGTTACTGCATTCAGATTGCGTGCGTTTTTTAAAGTCCCGTTAGATTGTCAAACCATTTCTGACACAGTCAGTCTGTGTCCTCACAAAACCCGCATTGGCGGTGGTTCTTGTAAATCGCTACGGTGTGTAGAATCTACAGTTTGCTACGGTTGTCCGTCTGATAACAACGCGGCAGCGTAGGGTTTATTATTTATTTTTATTTTTATTTTGGACCGGTGGACGGGTCGGCTTTCACAGCCTCCATCGCTCGGTTCCATGCCTTTTTCTTCCATCTTGTGAAGTTGTGTGTATTCATTTCTCTATCAACAATTCCTTGTTTTACCCTGTGTCATAAAGTTAAGTAGGCTACGGACAGTCCTTGTTTGTGTGAGACATATTAAGGAATCTGCCCGGAGTTTTACGTCGGCTCAGAAGGTAAAAACGCGAGTTGCTCTGAACTTAATGGGAGATGGACGAGACACGACAAAATCTTTCTTGCACTGTTACACCTGGTGTAAGGTTCTCTGACGTTCTGCTTCCAGAACATGCCATGACGCAGGAGACTGTTCACCGGCCGAGCATCGCTGGTCCCTCCGCCCGCCCGAACGGGCCCGTTTTAGGCGGGTGCCGCCGGTCGGGAGCAGTGGGGACTAGTGGCTGCGGTTCGGTGCCAGCTGCACTGGGTCGGAGGTGGTTCTGGTCTGCAATTCATGACGTGAATTCATGCAACATGCTGTTTACAGTCATAACGCTTTTTCTTTACTTTTATTTCTTCCAGGGGGTCAAAAACCCACCGTCAATATCAAGGTTTGAAATAAACAACACTTTCTCTGCTGCTTTTAAGCTGAATAAATCTCTTGAGCCTATGGTTAACCTCTCTGACAAACAGGTTGTGCTTAACCCTTTGTTTCCTGATGCTTCTCCTCTGTCATCCATGTTAAAGGCTGAACATCTCTCCAGCATGGGTGTGAAATCTTCAGGCTGTGACCCACCGCTTCAGTCAGAGGTCTGTTTTACTCGTCAGTCCGCCTCATGCACAAACCAGCTTCTTTATCGGGGCGTGATGGAAACGTCAGCCGCCGTGAAACACTTGTGGTCTCCGGACGGAGCTACCATGCCATTTAAGGGGTTTGTGCCCGGACATCTTGACCTTTATGTGAATGACCTTGTCACTTTTCAGTTTGTGACCTCTGCTAATACGGTGGCCAATTCCTTTCTCCTTTCACAGGGGTGTGACTTAGTCTCGGGCCTCTGTGCTCTCTTTCCTGTGATTTCTCTTACAGGTGACCACGATGACACAGAAAACCCTGCGGTTTCCAGCAGTCCTGTGGTCAGTGGCGATATTAAAGGTGGCTCGGTGGTTGCTGCGCACACCTCTCTCACGGGCTCGGGAAGGCAACCCGGCCCGGGAGGTGTAGGTGCGTGCAGTGATGCTATGCTCGGGGCCCCTCCTGACAAAGGGGGGGTGCTGAGTGGCTCTGAGTTTTCCGTTGCGGACTTCAACCGGTTCGGGGGAACGCCTCCTCCGAGCGGGCGGGTCATTGCAGAAATCGACACTGACCTTCCACCAATTCAGCTGACAACATTGACCTCCGACCCGGAGTTAGGTGCTGCACCTTCTACGGGGCGGAGTTCTAGTCAGTCTGTAAATACTCTGGTTAAACCGGGTTTTTCTGATTCAGTGTGGGAACCTCCATCATTCTTGGGAATAAAGTATTCTTGGCTTCAGTTTTCAGGACAGACCATGTTCCTAAAGCTAGTGTCATGTCTGTATCTGATTCTAAACATAGCTAGGTTTGCTTTGACACCCGTGACACAACCATCCTTGGATCACTCCTTTTCAGAACCTCCAAGTCCAATGTAACGTGAGGAAATATGGGTTTTCTGTCACAATGGTGGTGTTGGACGCAGCTGGGTCATAGCTGGGTCGCTGAGAACTTTCACCCACAGATTAAGACCTGAACGCCAGCGAGTCTGGGAGGAAACCATAACATCTGCCACCTGCAGTCTACCAGAAGATGTGTTTACATGAGTTGTACCCAGACCAAGTCAAAACATAAAGTTTAAACTTCTTTTTCTTGATTTTAATGTTAAAATAACCATTATCATTTTGCTCATTATAAATGTGTTTAATCAAATGAATGACTAGTATGCTTTGGGGTAATTATAATGGTTTAATGAATCCACACTTAAGTAGATAATGTTGAATGTGTGGTACTGACCTTCACACTCAAGCACACAAACATTCACACACACCCACACACATCTGCCCACAGTAAACTCCAGACACATTTGATGACGCACATGTTTTGCTTTGAGAAGAGAGGTTTTTGGTAAGTTTTCAGTTTTATGATTCAGTTCGTGTTGGACAACGGGAGAGAACAGACCTGAAAACCAAAGGGGGGGCAGAGCCTGTTGGCTCGTTCTTCCCCCCTTTCACGCTGTTTCTGCCAAGCCAGGCAGAATAGCTGAATCGCGACTTCTAACGAAGACTCATTACCGAGTCTTTTGATTTCTGAGTGAATTAACTTAAGAAAGCGCATCGATAAAACGCTCTACCATCCACGTGTACCGAGGGCAACTCTGGACCGGTTCCGTTCGACACCTACGTCTCCTGTCAGCCGCCGGTGTCATCTGGATGAACCACAACATCCTCCACGGCCCGGATCCGAAAGAGGGTCCACAAGAGTTCGGTGAGACAGAGCACGGTTTTAGCGTTTGATGCAGTTCTCTGATAAGACCTAAGTTTATCCAAACCATCACTTCACTCAGACACCTGTTCTTCCTGAAGCAAAATCAGACTCACACACGCATTCATGTCACAACATTCTCAATCTTCATAAATTCACCAGAAGGTCTATTTGAGCAAGAACAGCATATAAACTGTTAAAAGATTGTCCCACAAAGTTGCCAATGTGATTGTTATTTCCTGTTTGTCAATTTTCAAAATCATTAGTTTAACTTGAAGAATTAAAACTTTTAATCCTTCAAACTTGTTTCCTCATTGAACTGAAACACAGACACTCAGATATTATCGGCAGTTTATGGATGAAAACAACCTTTGAGTCTTCTGAACAATATAAAATTTGGTTATTGATTTATTAAAATTAATATTCCGAATTAATAGATGTTATGGTTTCTCTTAAATAAAAGAGCATAAATCCATAACGCTACACCAACACCTCCGGGTCTTTGGACATCTGAACACCTACTCTTTCAGCACGATTCAGGTGACAATGTGCATCTTCTTGGTATTAGGGCTTTTAAGAGCTTAAGAACTGTTCTTTGTTATGCTTCTCCTGTCTCACAGACACGGCATAAGTTTGAGAAACAAAAGGGGGGTGGGGAGCCTCCTCCTGCTTTGCGAGCATTATTTTCGCATTTCCAGTTCACTACTATTTCTGATCACAACAAAGTCGCCTCCGTAAAGCTGCAACACAACTTTGAGCAGGTAAAATCAGGTTCTGATCTAACAGCTAAACCATCAGCTTCACTCGTGTTCCGGACGGAACCCTCAGGTAAATCAAACAAGTTTCCCTGTGGGTTCGTAACACAAGATACAAACAGTTTGATAACCAAATCGCTTATGAGCCTGCTCCCACAGATACGTCCAAACTCGTGTCTCTGTGGGTCCGCAATACCAGATTCAAAACTCTATTCTGACCGACTCTATTCTGACCGGATTCTTTTCCACTGACTGGTGGACCGTTACAAATTCTCTCGTTTGTGGGATGAATTTTTAACAAATGTGATATCCTTTGAGTTTTTTTTCAGGTTACCTGCCTCCAGCCAGGGTCCTGTTACTAACTCACATTTTTAGGGATTACTAACGTGATGTAATGTAACGTGAGGAAATATGAGTTTTCTGTCACAATGGTGGTGTTGGACGCAGCTGGGTCATAGCTGGGTCGCTGAGAACTTTCACCCACAGATTAAGACCTGAACGCCAGCGAGTCTGGGAGGAAACCATAACATCTGCCACCTGCAGTCTACCAGAAGATGTGTTTACATGAGTTGTACCCAGACCAAGTCAAAACATAAAGTTTAAACTTCTTTTTCTTGATTTTAATGTTAAAATAACCATTATCATTTTGCTCATTATAAATGTGTTTAATCAAATGAATGACTATTATGCTTTGGGGTAATTATAATGGATTAATGAATCCACACTTAAGTAGATAATGTTGAATGTGTGGTACTGACCTTCACACTCAAGCACACAAACATTCACACACACCCACACACATCTGCCCACAGTAAACTCCAGACACATTTGATGACGCACATGTTTTGCTTTGAGAAGAGAGGTTTTTGGTAAGTTTTCAGTTTTATGATTCAGTTCGTGTTGGACAACGGGAGAGAACAGACCTGAAAACCAAAGGGGGGGGCAGAGCCTGTTGGCTCGTTCTTCCCCCCTTTCACGCTGTTTCTGCCAAGCCAGGCAGAATAGCTGAATCGCGACTTCTAACGAAGACTCATTACCGAGTCTTTTGATTTCTGAGTGAATTAACTTAAGAAAGCGCATCGATAAAACGCTCTACCATCCACGTGTACCGAGGGCAACTCTGGACCGGTTCCGTTCGACACCTACGTCTCCTGTCAGCCGCCGGTGTCATCTGGATGAACCACAACATCCTCCACGGCCCGGATCCGAAAGAGGGTCCACAAGAGTTCGGTGAGACAGAGCACGGTTTTAGCGTTTGATGCAGTTCTCTGATAAGACCTAAGTTTATCCAAACCATCACTTCACTCAGACACCTGTTTCTTCCTGAAGCAAAATCAGACTCACACACGCATTCATGTCACAACATTCTCAATCTTCATAAATTCACCAGAAGGTCTATTTGAGCAAGAACAGCATATAAACTGTTAAAAGATTGTCCCACAAAGTTGCCAATGTGATTGTTATTTCCTGTTTGTCAATTTTCAAAATCATTAGTTTAATTTGAAGAATTAAAACTGTTAATCCTTCAAACTTGTTTCCTCATTGAACTGAAACACAGACACTCAGATATTATCGGCAGTTTATGGATGAAAACAACCTTTGAGTCTTCTGAACAATATAAAATTTGGTTATTGATTTATTAAAATTAATATTCCGAATTAATACGTAGCATGGTTTCTCTTTCATAAAAGAGCATAAATCCATAACGCTACACCTGAATGGCATTAAATCAGTCTCCAAGAACACAGTAAGGAACCTTGGTGTTAATTTTGACCAGGAAATGTCATTCAAATCCCAGGTTAATCAGGTTTGTAGGATTTCCTTTTTCCACCTTCGGAATATCGCTAAGATTAGAAGCATCCTTTCCAGGAGTGATGCTGAAAAACTAGTTCATGCATTTATTACATCAAGACTGGATTACTGTAATTCATTACTCTCAGGAAGCCCACAGAATGTAGTTAAAAGTCTTCAGCTTGTCCAAAATGCTGCAGCTAAAGTTCTGATGAGAATTAAAAAGAGAGATCATATCTCTCCTGTCTTAGCTTCCCTGCATTGGCTACCTGTTAAATTCAGAATAGATTTTAAGATCCTTCTTCTCACATATAAAGCTCTTAATAATCAAGCTCCATCATACATCAGTGATCTGATTGTTCCATACATTCCTAACCGAGCACTTCGCTCTCAGACTGCAGGTTTACTGGTGGTTCCCACAATATCTAAAATTAGGATGGGAGGCAGATCTTTTAGTTATCAGGCTCCTCTCCTTTGGAACCAGCTCCCAGTCTTAGTCTGTGAGGCAGACATCTTGTCTACTTTTAAGAATAGGCTTAAAACATTTTTATTTGATAGGGCCTATGGTTAAAATCTGATGTTAGCCTAGATCTGGACAAGTGGGGGAGTAGAGGGAGGTGGACTGTACAGTCGGTAAAGATGGCTCTCCCTTGCCCTGCCTCCAACATGCCTCCATCTAAAAAGGCTAAGTTATCCAGAGTTATCTATGTAGTTATGCTGCTATAGGCTTAGACTGCTGGAGGACATACTGGCCACTTTCCACACTCTTGTGCTTTCTTTTACAATTTGCTCTTTTAACTGTATTATTTCCTGCTATTTCAGCTGTTAACTATTTTTTCTCTAAGTGTTTTTCTCCCCAGAAGAAGCTACAATGATGTTCTGCTGAGCTGTAGTGCCCTCATGGAGGGGGCCAACGTCTAGCATACTGCTGCAGACCACTTAAACATTCTCCCTCTCCTGATAATAACATTTTACTCTCTTTGACATCGAATGTGCTACTACTAGTTTACCTGTTTAATTATAGATTCACTAGGATAAATACAATAAAATTTATCTCTCACAAAATAGAATATTTACTAAGAAATCACAATGTAACCATAAAAACATTACTTTGTGTGTGTGTGTGTGTGTGTGTGTGTGTGTGTGTGTGTGTGTGTGTGTGTGTGTGTGTGTGTGTGTGTGTGTTTGCTCTGTCTTCTCGATCCCCAGTCAGCTGTGGTGGATGGCTGCTTATACTGAGCCAGGATCCTCTGGAGGTTTCTTCCTGTTACAAGGGAGTTTGCGATACAAGTGTGGCCAGTTCACTTGAGCTGACTGCACCTGCTGCATACAGCACGACTTGCAGACGGGCTGTCTTTGTTGTTGGAGACTGCCTCTAAGCAGCAGCAGCTTCCGCTGCCTTCCTCCTCTTACAAGCTGTTGTCCTGGGCATAGCTGGAACAGGAGAAGGCAGCAGATTGGATCCTGACCTGGGATGAAGGGGGAGCAGGCTTTGAGCAAGAAGATGAGGGACCGAGTAGGGAGGTGGTAGAGGTAGTGGTGGCAGGGCTTTCCTCTTCCCACCTGTGCGGAGGGCAGCCCTTTGCAGAAGGGTGGGCAGAAAAGGCTCCGCTTCCCTGCGTCAGCACTACTCTCTATGGGTGAACTTGGACAAACATGAGAATGAGCTGTGTTGAGGCTGAGAACCAGGTGTGTATGGGTGGGTGTTTAGCCAGGACAGGGAAAGATGACACTAACATCTACAGACCATGACATTAGCAATAAGGACTAGTTAGAGACAGCAGGTTGCTGACCTGTGAGTTACCAACAACAAAGCAAAGTGTAACTGAACCCAAACCCAAACACTTCCAGTTCATCTGTCATTACATGAGTTTTTACAAAGTAGAGATAAATGAGAAATGAGTCAACATCTGTTTACCATTACGAACCATTACGACCATTACGAACAATATATGAAATGAACACATTTCTGTAATTTGCTTTTTCTTTTGTTGACAACCACCTCAACCAGGTCTTCATCGCTTGGCTTCACAGATGCCCCGGGTTGAAGAGCTGGTCTCAAAATGAACCACCAGATCTTTTGGGGGTCCGATGAGTCTTGCAGGCTGTCCAACTTGAAGTCCCAGAAGCCAACAAGGTACCATCCCTCCTGTTACACATTTTAAGCACATGTAAAAACAGCACAAAATGTAGTAAAGATGGCCAAAAGTCAACTAAAAGTTAGAATCTAAGTGAAAGAAAAGCAAAATCAACTTAAATGTCCCCCACTGAACACAGTTCACCCTGTCAAAGACCTCTTTATACCATACCACACCAACTTTATTTCTATAGCACAATTTAAGACAGCGTGAGAGCTGACCAAAGTGCTGAACAGGCAGGATCAATTAAAACAAAAAGAAAAAAGCAATAAGAAGATAAAACACAACAATAAAATCATAATACGGTAACATTGAATCACTGTCTAAAAGCCAAGTCATAAAAGTAGGTTTTTAAACAAGATTTAAAAACAGGCAGAGAAGATGCCAGCCTAACTGTAATGGGCAATGAGTTCCAAAGCATGGGGGCAGCATGGACAAATGCACGTTCACCTCGTGATTTGTAGGACATCCAGGGAGTGCAAAGCAGTAGACGGTCAGCTGACCTCAACATACGAGTAGGTACATAGGGAGTCAGCAGGTTGGACAGATTAGGAGAAGCTAGGTTGTGTAGGGCTTTACAAACAAACAATATCTTAAAACGCACACGAAATGTGATGGGGAGCCAGTGAAGATATTCCAGGACTGGTGTAATATGGCTATGTCGGATTGTGTTTGTTAAAAACCTAGCATGGGGTTTGTTCTATTTTTAACTAGGGTTGCGTCAGTGTGTGTCGTAAAATCAGCACGCAGTTTCCAATCCCATCTCTCAGACCACCTGATAGTGGACCAACTTCAACCCTATATTCCTTCTCTGTCATGTCACACATCACACTCCAGAAGAAGCAAAGATACTGGTGATTAAATGTTTAGAAGATTTGGATCAATTTCAGTAAAAGAGATGATGGGATAGAGGAATGGAATGTGTAGATTAAAATATGAGGAAAATGAAATTTCATTTAGGACTTGATCTTTCAATGATATTTGGATTTTGAAACGTGATTAGTGTGAGGGAGATTAGAAATTTATAATGAACAGGATGACAAATGAACTACATATTGACACAAATATAGGCTGTAAAGATAGGTTTTGGGACTTTGACAGCAATATTGATCCTGATTACAATTTCTTTAATAATGGAATACATGAATGTAATTATTACAATGAAGAACAATTCAATATAAAGATGAAGTCAGAAAATAGTTTGACAATAGCTCATTTCAATAGCAGAAGCTTATATGCAAATTTTGACGCCATCAAGGAATATATAGCACAATTCAAGAAGCCATTTACTATCATTGCCATATCAGAGACATGGATAACACATAAAAAGGAAGGAAATTTTGAATTGCATGGATATGACTTTATCCACCAAGACAGAATAAGAAAAAAAGGAGGAGGGGTGGCACTTTATATTGACAAAAATCTTAATTACAAAAAAGCAGAAATGATGACAACTACTATTGAGGGAGTGATGGAATGTGTAACAGTAGAAATAAGCATGAAAAAGAAGAAGAACATATTAGTAAGCTGTATGTATAGAACACCAGGCTCTAAGATTGAAACATTTAAGAATAAAATGGAGGAGATGTTTACAAATTTGTACCAGAAGGGAGTGTTTATTTGTGGAGATTTCAATATAGACTTGCTAAATCCAAATAAAAACAAAAGTACAGAGGAATTTACTGATATAATGTACAGTCTAGGTTTATTTCCATTGATAACCAGACCGACTAGAATAACATTACACTGCACTACTTTAATAGATAATGTATTCACTAATATAACGGAAGAAAAGGTGGAAAGTGGGTTATTAATAAGCGATATGAGTGACCATCTACCGGTTTTTGCTTCTTATGACTGTCATTATAAAAATGAAACAGAAGAAACTAACTATATGTATAAAAGAATGAAAACAGACCAGAGGTTAAATAGTCTTAAAAATGATTTATTAGAACAAGATTGGAATATTGTTTATGAAAAAAATGAAGTAGACCAAGCATATGATTCCTTTTTTAATATATGTAAAAGTCAATTTGACAGAAACTGTCCAGTTATCAAAAATATTCAGAGGAATAAGTATAAAGAAAAACCGTGGATGACAAAAGGACTACAAAATGCATGCAATAAAAAAAACACACTTTACCGAGAATTTATAAAAAACAGAATGACAGAAGCAGAACAAAAGTACAAAAGATATAAAAACAAACTCATAAATATAGTGAGAAGGTGTAAACGTGAATATTTTATTAAAAAGTTAGAGCACAATAGAAACAACATAAAAGGCATCTCGAAAGTATTAAATGGCGTAATTAGGAAAGAGACAGGGAATAATAACTATCCACAACATTTTATAGAGAGAAAAAATAATATTACAAACATGAATGAAGCAGTGGATGAATTCAACAAATATTTTGTAAGCATAGGATGTAAATTGGAGGAAAAAATAATAGTTGATGAGATACAAACGGATGCCACAGAGTATGTTGAAAGAAATAAAAATTCAGTTTTTTTAAGAGCAGTTGATGAGAAGGAGATTTATGAGATAGTTAGAAATATGAAGAATAAAACCAGTACAGACTGGAACAATATTGATATGAAAACACTGAAATGTGTGATTTAGGGCATTGTAAAACCATTAACACACATTTGTAATCTTTCTTTTCAAAAGGGGTTTTTTCCGAATAACATGAAAGTAGCAAGGGTAATTCCTATTTACAAGACAGGAGATAAGCATCAATTTACAAATTATAGACCTGTGTCAATACTATCACAATTTTCCAAAATATTAGAAAAGCTGTTTGTTAAAAGATTCGATAATTTTGTTGATCAATGTGAGTTGCTGACGGAATGCCAGTATGGCTTCAGGAATGATAGGTCGACAGTCCAGGCACTGATTGATCTTAATGAGGAAGTAACAGAATGCATTGACAAAAAGAAGCATGCAATAGGGTTGTTTTTAGATCTGAAGAAAGCTTTCGATACAGTAAACCATGACGTATTGATGAGAAAAATGGAAAAATATGGTTTCAGGGGTATAGTTTTGGACTGGATAAAAAGTTATTTATCAAATAGACAACAATATGTGCAAATAAATCAACATAAATCAGGACTAAGAGAGATACAATGTGGGGTACCTCAAGGATCAGTCTTAGGAACTAAACTATTCATAATGTACATAAATGACATTTGTAGGGTTTCACAAGTATTGAAGTTTGTATTGTTTGCAGATGACACAAATGTTTTTTGCTCGGGTGTGGAACTGCAACAGGTCCTGGATGTGGTCACACAGGAAATAAATAAATTTAAAAAATGGTTTGATGTAAATAAACTGTCACTAAATTTAGAGAAAACAAAATTTATGTTGTTTGGTAATGAAAGTAGATACAATGAATTATATATAGTAATTAATAATGTAAAAATTGAGAGTATATGAAATAAAATTTCTTGGGGTGGTCATAGACAGCAGGATCTGTTGGAAGCCACACATCAAATATGTTAGGGGGAAGCTTGCACGGGGCATTGCTATATTGGGGAAAGCTAAGTATATTTTTAATCAGAAAGCACTTTATATATTATACAATACGATGCTACTGCCATATTTGAGCTGTTGTGTAGAGGTCTGGGGAAACACGTACAAAAGTAATTTACAAACAATAACGACAATGCAGAAAAGGGCTATCAGATTAATAACAAATGCAGGATATTTGGATCACACAAATGAACTTTTTATTAAAACACGGACAATGAAGTTCCAGGACTTGGTTAAATACAAAACAGCACAAATAATGTATAAAGTAAGAAATAAATTAATGCCTGATAAAATACAGAAACTGTTCACAGAGAGAGAAGGAGGATATAACCTGAGAGGGACACTAAACTTAAAGATCCATAAGTTTAGAACAACATTAAAACAAATGTGTATCACAATAATAGGGGTTAAATTATGGAACAATTTAGAAGAAGAAATCAAAGTAAGTACAAATATAAATGTGTTTAAAATGAATTATAAAAAACATATTCTGAACAAGTATATAGTGGAAAATAGATGATTTATGTGGGTGTCCTTTATTCCAAGGAAAAGTAAATTGTATCAATTTTAAAAAGATGTTTTTTTTTTCTTTTTTTGTTTTTTTCCATATAATTTGGTGGTTTTTTGGTGACTTGTACCATTTAGTTTGTTTTAATGTAGGTTTTGTGTTAGATTTAAGTAAACAAGTAAAAATTACTTGTATAAAGGGGTA